ATATATATATATGAAACAATTGCTTTCTTAAAATTTCTGCACATTAGTAATTTTAATTGTTAAAAATAATTTTCTACAACAAAAAAGTTTGAACACCAAAGAAAAAGTAGAGTCAAATAGAACTATTATTGGCTTAAAAAAAAAAGTGAAGAAACTAGCCTAAATAAACCCTAATTACTTAAACTGTTAAAGCAAAGAATAATAACTGTCACATAAAAAAATAATAGCAGTCACATAAAAAAATAATAATAGCAGTCACATAAAAAAAAAAAAAAAAAAATAGCAATCACACTTTTCACATTTTGTACTAACAAGCAAGAATGAGCCGTGTACGCAATTTGATCTATTAAAAATAGTAAATAAAATTTATTTACTTGCAATAAAACTTTGAGCGTAATTGATTTCAGCATAAAAAAATTAAAGTCAACTAGATAGCACTTATACGGAGTAATCATTTATATAAAATTAATTAAGACATGCAACTGAATTAAACAAGCAATGCATAGTCAAATAGTACTTTAATCAATTGGAGCTTTTCATATAATAATTATAATGTTTGATATTGAGCTCAACGTCACTTTAATGACGTTGTAATAATTGAAGGAAGCTTAGATATTACAAGCTAGTGATGATACAGCCATTCAAGGAAGCTTAGATATTACAAGCCTTGATATGCAAGGCTGAGATTAAGTTAACTACAGCATTTTCCTGACAGGAGTAGCCAAAGCCTTGAGTGGAGAAGCCAAGGAAAGTGTGAGACCAAACTGCTCGTCGAGATTCAAATCCTTCGGCTTCATTCCGTCCGGCAAACTCCATTCAAAGGATTGAATGAGTGAGGCCAGCATGAGCTGAACCATCCGAACGCCCAAAGGCAATCCAGGACAGATTCGCCGTCCCGAACCAAATGGTATTAGCTCAAAGTGCTGCCCTCGAAAATCTATGTTGCTTCCGGCTTCCATAAACCTCTCAGGCATAAAGCAGTCCGGCTTCTCCCAAACCTGCTCATCTCGACCTATGGCCCACACATTTACCAGCACCTGAGTGTTCTTCGGGACTTTGTAGCCATTTATCTCCGTGCTTTCCTCTGCTTTATGAGGCAGTAGAAGTGGAGCCGGTGGATGAAGCCGGAGTGTCTCCTTCAGGATTGCTTGGAGGAGCGGGAGTTTTGAGATATCCGACTCTTCAATTTCTCCCTCGAACCCGACGACAGTAATGATCTCTTCTCTAGCCCTCTTCATCAGTTCTGGCCTGCGAAGCAATTCTGCCATCGCCCACTCCAGTGTGGTCGAGCTCGTTTCACTTCCAGCAACAAAAGAGTCCTGACAAAATTTTAAAAGAAATTTATTATACTTTTAGGGGCTCTTTGGTAGCACCATGAATTTGATTTAAGTAGGATTTCATTAATCCTCTAAATCTGAATTTCGGAAATCCTGATGGGCTTAAATCGTAAGAAATGTTTGGTAACGTTCTTGATAAATCATCTTAAATCAAATGTGACTGTTTGGCTATAGAGCAGGATTTACGGAGGAGACTCCCTTCTAGCACCTTCGATTTCATAAATCCGGCAAAATACAGGATTTTGAAAATGTGGGATTTAGAGCGAATCAGTGAAATTTTCCGTCTAAAGCAGATTTAGATTGCCGTGAGATTTTGTTTTGCATTTTAGGCCATTTGGCTAGATTTAGCTTAAATCCGCATCAAATCCAGCCTAAATACTGCCACCAAACAGTCCCTTAATGTATAATGCAAATTAGGAAATTTAGCAGAAATAGCATGATTAATAATTACCAACAAGAAGGATTTTATGGTTCCCCTTGTAAGCTTGGAATTATCTTCCAGAGACAAAAGAATCCTAATTAAAAAGCCTTTCGACTTTGAACGTATAGTAAAAATTAGAAAATTACTAACCAATGCAAAATTAGCAAATACTGTGATTAATTACCAAAAGAAAGCATTTTATCATTCGCCTGCTAAGCTTGGAGTTATCTTCTTGACTTAGTTGAAGAAGCACATCCAAAATATCCCGATTAGATCTTCTACCTTCTTCGGCCGTGGTTGTCAATCGATTTTCTACCATTTTATTCAAAAAATCATATAACTTGTTATAGTAAACCGCAGAGCGGCGTCTTTGGCCTTGAAGATCCATTGGAGCTAAGTAAGGGAAGAAGTCGGAGAGGTTCGGTTTTCCGGCCTCTTCCATTAGCCCCCAGATCAAATCCTTTAGCTCTTGTGCTGATTCAGATTTTAAATCTATCATATCAATAGATAAGAAGGTGGTTGATATTAGATTGAGCACGGTGGAGAACGCCGCCAGTGCAATTTGAACAGCCTCGCCATTCTTCCCCCTTATGTATGCCACAAGTTCATGAATCTTTCGCCGGCGAAGCGGTTGGGTTGCATCGAGAGACTGTGAGTTGAAAAGATGGGTCTTGGCGAGAGTGCGGAGATGCCTCCATGATTGGTTTTGAGACGACCATACCATCGAGACCTCATGGTGGCGGAGGGATTGAACAACATCGGAGACTTGTCGGCCGGAGATGGAGTGCTCTTTTGTTTTAAGGACTTCTTTTGCGGAGCTTGGTGAGGAGATGACGATTGTGTGGATGCTGCCAATTTTGAGAGACATGACTGGTCCATGAATTCGGGCAAGACGGGCCAAGGAGCGGTGGGGATTTTGGCCTAGCTCGAGAAGGTTGCCCAACACCGGGAGCGGCCTTGGCCCGGGAGGAAGTGGTAAATCCTTCGATGATCGACGTCTTAAAAAAAGTATGGTGAGAGCTGCGAAGAAGGCCGACCAAAGAAGATATTGAGTTAACGCATCCATTATTCTGTTATTTTGAAGACGATAGAAATGTGTAATGTTGAGAGAGAGAGAGAGAGAGATTCTATTTGAGAGGAAAGTTATGCCCACATGGCCTTATAACCTTTTGAATTTATAGAGATTAATTAAAACAAGTGCCCTGTCTCCACTTTCGCTCCAGCAATGCGACCTGCCGGCGTGAACGTCAGCCCAGGCATGTGATCCGCTTTCTAGCAGGGCATCCAGGAATCCATTCGTCCGCGCCATGGCGGGCAAATTATTGCATCAGGTGACCTGACAGAGAGATGCGTTCGGGCTCTCTCTGTCTAGTGCTACAGTAAAGCGCAGGTTACTGTAGCCAGAGAGAGACCGAACGCATCTCTGCGTTCGGTCACCTGACGCAATAATTTGCCCATGGCGGCACCAACCTGTTTCATCTCAAGTCCCACAGCACATTCACCAACACCTTACTATGATCACCGCTTGGAAGAATGAGAATTTTTAGACATATGACTATTAGATTTCTCTCTAGAGCCCGATGACTGATGTGATCTCTTCATGAGCTCTTGTCATCATTTCTAGCCTACAAAAGAAAATATGTCATCACCCACTCTAATGTAGGGGCGGAACCGACCATGATTTTCAGGGGGACCTATAAGTAACTATTGGCAGATATGACGGGGTCAAATAGGGCAGCGCCCCGTGGCGGGGTTCGAACATACCTTGTAATAAAGACTAAAAAATATCTTAAGGGGGACAAATTACCTAAAGAATCGTATAATAAATTTTTTTAGGGGAGAGGGGTGGGCAATTGCCCCCCTGGGCTCAAAGGGGTTATGCCCCTGGTCCAATGTGTTCGAGCTAGTTTCACTTCCAGCAACAAAAGAATCCCGAGAACAATTATAAGGAAATCCCTTCTACTTTCACCATATTATATGCAAAATAAGAAATGATTGAGGGCATCTCCAACCGCAAAACTCATTTTTCACTCCAAAATGTAGTAATTTGTCTCTAATCGAACTCCATTTTCTTACAAAAAAAAAAAATTCCTAGTATATTCTTTTCCCTGCTTTATTTAATATATTTTTAATCATAAATTTTATTTATCATTTTTTTTCAAATTAAATCTATTATACTTATAAAAAAACTTTTGCATCATAAAATAATTTGGAATATTAATATGTCATAAATAAATAAATGTTTAGTTAATAAAATGAAAATTACATTAGAACACATTAATAGGAACGAGAAAAATACCAGGACAACTAAACATTATAATTAGTGTTTAAATCCCACAAATGATCAATTAATGCATTTCATAGTGCAATGTGAGCATCTTTATTTCTATTTTGTTTATGGCGAGCGATAAATTTCTGAAACTAAGTATTTTTATCTATCACCTTTTCGACCTCTGGGGGTGGCGCTTCTCTCTCAACTTGAACTGGTCTTGTGAGATTATGTTTATATTCAATTATCATGTTATGTAAAATTGTGCATGTAGTTTTTATATCATGCACTAAATCTTAGCTCCAAAAACGTACATGTCCTAACACAATTCTGAAACGAGATTTGAGAGTTCCAAAAGCTCATTCTACATCATTTATATATGCTTCATGTTTCATTACAAAATATTATTTCTTTGATGTTCGTGGTTCTTGAATTGTTTACACAATGATTAACCATTTCAAATATATATTATCAGTCAAATAGTGACCCATGTTATATTATTTTCCTTAAATGATATAATGACATAGAGGAGCTATACCTTGAGTGGGATAAGAGAATAGATGGAAAGACTCCAACACATTTATATCATTATTAGTGCATGGTACACATAAAAAAGCATGTTATAACCAAAGATTATAATCTGTCACGGCTTCCAGAATAATTTTAGGTGATCCAGTACATCCTACATATTGCGCATGCCCAGCTCACCCGGTAGGATAATTTTTCCACTCCCAGTGCATACAATCTAAATTATCAAACTTTCCTAGAAAATCACGTTGTTCATTAATGTTAAGAAGTATAACCACATTATTGATTGTTGGTGATCTTAAATATTGTTTTGAAAATATTTTTACTCTTACTCTACAAAATCTCTTCATACTTTTGATTGTTATTAATTAGCCTATTCTAATATACTCGTTTGTAGCATCTATGGGTAATCTATATGCTAACATACGAAGGACGGCTGTTATTTTCTGGATGGGTGATAAACCAAGCTTACCGGTGTGATCCATTTGTTGGTGAAAGTAACTATCATGTGCTTTTACTACATTAAACACACGTATGAACAATGTTCAAGACATTTAATATCATCGTCGGAACATTATATCATTGTACACTGGATTACTTGAAAAGTAATATGGATAGAGTCGATGATCTGTAGCCTCCCAATCACGGTTGATAAAAGCACGCCCTATAACTGAGCCTTCCATAAAGGCGTGTATAATAGGTTGTGTAAGCAGGTATTGTTATTTGTTATTGCATGATGAAGTATTGTTTCATCTTCCTATAAATTATTTATTATTTGGAGTGTGTTTTCTTCATCTTGAGGAAGATAAAGATGAAAAAGTATTTTGCATATTGATAATGTGATGTTAAGATGACATGAAAATATGTTATTTATAGGAGAAGTGTAATGACTAGTCACATCCGATCTATGTTGCTTAAAAAGTGTAAGAATCTCATAAAACATATTGCAGTGATTAGTTACATCTAATCCATATTGCTTGAGATGTGTGAGAATCTCATAGTAAATATTACACTGATTGATCACATCCAGTCTATGTGAGAATCTCAGAGGACACATTGTACTGACTAGTCACATCCAAAGCAATATTAAATTATAATGTTAGAAGGATGTCAAGAATGTCAATAAATTTGTTATATAAATAGGTGTGAGGAGCATGTCATGTAACTGATATTCTACATCCATTAATTCTTTGAAAAATATGTCTATTCGATCAACTGCATATTCTCAGGAGCAAGATAAACTCTTATGCAGAATTTACATGAAAATTTCTCAAAACCTAATCATGGGTATATATCTGTCATCGGATAACTTTTGATCAAGTGTAGAAGAATCATACAATAATTCCAAAAGTCGAAGTTGGGATATGCGTTCAAAAATATCTGTTGAGTCTCGTATTCAAATTATCGAGAAAGCAACAAGGGAGATGCACGCATGCATTTGACAAGTTGAAAATAGACATATTAGTGTATCTTCAAATGAAAATATTGTGAGTATTCATGTTTATTACTAAAATATATCTTTTTTTTTTTTATTTCATAACTTATTTAATTGTAATTGTGTAAATCGATTTATAGTTAGATCAAGCTAAACTATTTTTTGTGCAAGATGAGAAGTTCAAAGTATGTTGGAAGTTTGATAATGTGTGGAACATTATTAAAAATTTTGAGAAATTTAAAGATGACCAATCTAGTGTTAGGCAGGCATCACGTGTGTCGAGCTTTGGGTATGCCTCATTCCGAGAATATGGTAAACAACAATCTCTTGGACTCTTTGCATTTTCTCTAACTTTAGATGATGAAGAATATAATGTTCATGGCTCTCAATCAGAACGAACGATTAGGGTTAAGAAAGTCAAGCTAAAAATTGATGAAGAGATGTCAACATTTATTAAAACTCTAGAAGATGAAAAAAGTAACTTATTTCAAACTTAAGTTTTATATAGGAAAAAAATTTAGAAATAAAATAAAATCTTATTTCAAGACTTAAGTTCTATACAAAATCCTGATGTACGTGCATTTGTCCAAGCTAAACAAGCATGAACATTGGAAAAGAGGTTCAGACAACGACAACATCCTCCTTCTTTAAACTCATTTGGAATATATCTCAGTGATTTTGGAGGAGCCGATATCAGTCTTCCAGATTATTAGATTGTCATTGTTATTTTAAATTTTTGTTATCCAAACTTATTCTATATTTTGATTTTTTTTAGGTATTGTACTTCTCGATATCTTTTATATATATGAGAATTAATTTCCGATTTAAAAAAATAGCGGGTGTGTTCACCCACAATCAAACAGCCGGAAAAATGCCGATTAGATGAAGCGATGGAAGGACGCCATACAAATATATGACGTTCGGTAAGAGATGCCCTGATGCGTGCAAAAATAGCGTGTTTAATTACCTACATAAAGAATTTAATTGTTCTCCTATTAAGTTTAGAATTTTTTTTCTTGACATAGTTGAAGAAGAACATACAAAATGTCAGGATTAGTTTTTCTACCTCCTGCTGCTTTGGCTACTACTGAAAGCAATGCCTTCGCAGCACTGTGTAAGAAAGGCTGTAATGTTATACAGCAAATGGTAAAGTATAAAAGCTTTTCATATTGGTGTAGTGTAATACTCTACTCTAATTCATCAGAGTACTTTGGTGCTACATATAGGTATATAAGAGCATAGCTTTTTACACGTGTAGGCTTAGGATGCAATTTGTTTTTTTGGGTATTAGTGGTATTTTCTTGGGCATTTTGGGGATTCGAGACCGGATGAAAGAGGAGGAATTTCTTCCATCAACCATCCGACCACAGACCCGATCTCGATATTAGTGGTATTTAATTGCTTGGTTTGTTTAGACTAGTCAGGAGGAGTCGAAATGATCGAAAAAATCGTATAGCATTTAAAATATGCAATAAAAATACGCCTCTAGCCTGCATGTCTATTGGATATTTTGATTCAGAAAAGGGGAAAATATAGAGGTTTGGTCTACATGTCTCTTACCAAAGCCCTAACATCAAATCCCCCAAATTTTTCACTAAATCAAATTTTAAATGAAATGTATTAATAGCGAAGAAGGAAGTTGATATTAGGTTGAGCACAGTGCAAAATGCTGCCCGAACAATTTGCTTAGGCCTCCCACCCTCTAATATATTCCAAAAGTTCCTTACCATTTTGTCGGTGAAGCAATTTGTTACATTAAGGTTTCGTTTGATAAAGTTTTCTTACTATTTCTTAAATTAACTGTTTAGTAAAAAAATTAATTTTTATACTAAAAAGTTGTTTTAAGAAACAATAACAAAGCCGTCCCAAACGAAGCCTAAGAGATTTTGTGTTGAAAATATTTAATAAGGATGCAGCTG